CTCTCTCTCTCGTGTCTTGGTGCTTGTGTCGCAGATACCGAGCACTTGAAGAGGAATCCAAATGCTCCATCAGCCCGAACAACTTACAGAACTCTACTCAGCGTCTCCTCCTCCCCTTAGGGGGCATCACACACTCCAATGGGAGAGTACTCACCTGAAATTAAAGTAAAGAAAATACGTGAGGTAAAATTAGTAAAAGCTGTGGTTGGGGATATCTGTACGAGAAATGTATCCAAACAAATGTCCTATAAGCAAACAGCTTCAGGCGTCTCAATCCATTTCATTCCTATATATTACATATTCCCCTCAAAAGAAAGTCTGTTGCATTCCACTTCGTTCCATTTTATGGTGGTACAAAATACCCCTAAGTGAACTGACACCTTCGTTTTATTCCATCACGTTTTGGAATATTCATATCTGTATAAGTTCCCCATAAGAGAAAGAACACCTCATTCCTCATTCTCATTCCGAACACTGTGGATATTTATTCATTTGGTGCAGAAATTTCTCATAGAAATAGAAATAGAGGAGGCACCATCATCATCAGCCAACAGCTTAATCGAATGTCATGACCAACTGCAGGCACAAATTGTTATTGCCTCATTATACGTAATCCCCTCCAGAGGCACAGCCACCCTCCACTCTGTCTGTGTGTAATTGCTCTAAGCATTGTTAATGTCATTTGTTGTAGAACATTTAACCCCCAGCAAAGAGAGAAACAGAGAAATACAAGAGCCAAAACTAGAGCATAGGAAATATATCTCAATTGTTTCCGCTGGTGGTGGCGGAGCACCAGGCCAGCACCAGGCCAGCACCAGATGGATAGCAATGGGATTTTCGTTGAATATAATATGCATAAATAAATTAGCATAAACCTGCCATGGATATGCCACCTTTTGTCAGCAAGGGATATTTGCCCACAGAAATTAGTGAGGGCTTGACATCGGGGGAAGTCCCATATGGTTTGCCCTTACGATTCCATATTTCCAGCCTTATTTTTCAACAGATGTTTTCGAGACTTCGGATATGTTTGTTTCCCTTTGGGTTGTTCTCCTTTTCTGTTGTTCTGCTTTGTCTTTCGATCTTTCGGGGTTTCCCTAAAAGGGGGATGGAAAAACGGGCATGGACTCTCGTGTTGACAGGCCATGCCAGGGGCCAATCGAATGCCAATCGATATATAATAAAATGCCAGGGCCAGCCCCGATCGGAACCATCATCCACCCCCAAAAAGATGGCCCTCTCCTTCCTCCGTCGGGTTATTCCACCCTTGGGAAAACCCCCGCCCTCCTCCCAGGGGAAAATGCGTGCCAAAAAAGTGTTAAAAACGCAATCCACCATCGTAGCGGGCAAGGCAATAGAAATCTGCTTTGATTTCTTTATATACTAATAAAAGCAGGACATTGCATGGGTTTTCCCTTCCATTTTCCCATGGGATGGGGCAAATATCCAGGTATTTTCCCTTGGAAATTTCATCGTCTCTTTTCATACTCTGTTCTTTGTGTTTTTTTTTTTAGTTTTTTATAGTATTTTCTGTTTCTATTATTGAAAGATCACGTGTCCCGCGACATGCGCCAGCGTCCCTCTGTCGGTTGAACGGATCTTCGGTATTCTTCCGGTATCTTCGGTATATAAATTATCTATGATCTGGGAATCTAGGATTTTCTGCTATTTTTTTTCAGTATATTTACGGAATTATTTTAATATTTTGAAATATTATTTATGTTATTTCCCAGCTTATAACTGATTTTAAATTAATATTTCCAGCATACATTATTTTTTATTATTTTTCTGCGAATATTTCTAGTATTTTATTATTTTTATTCTATTGTTCGTACTCCTATGTCTAGTATTTATATGGTATTTTCTAGAATTTGTATTGGTACTATTTCTGGTATATTTTTTTTAAACTTTTTTTCTGGCTATGTTTTAAGACCATGGCTGATTTTGTGGTATTTTTTTCTGAAAATAACTATAGTATTTTTGTGGTTTTATCTGGTATTTATCTAGTATTTTATGGTATTCTTTCTAGAACTTTTCCAGTGCATTAAACACTTCATTGCACTCCCATCGTAGCGGGCTTTTATTTTTACGAGAAAAAAGATCATAAAAAGGCCATAAAATACTTTTCCAGGAGCTGGGCGCACACACACACACACGCACACACGTGTCGAGGCTATTAGGCCATCCTTTTTGGGCAAATGTGCAATTGAATGGCAACAGAATGACTTATTCCATATCTTTTGATAATTTTATTGGCAAACTGCAGTTCCATAAAGTCCGGCGAGCACTGCCAGCACCACATTTCATTTCTGTACTTCTGTATGTGGCAGAGAGGAGCCGTCATAAGCTTATTGCAACGTTTAGGTACCTAGTCGACTGCTAAAGCCCCCGATGGGGATTAGGGGATGCAATCCCTCTCACTGTCTACATAACTTGCGGCAAATTCAATTTACAGTCGAGACGAGAGTTGACTCTCCCACGCAGTGCACTTTAGCACGTAGACTTCACCGCCAGTCCCAGCCCCATCCCATGGACACGTACTCCGAAGGGGAGCCAGAGAAGGATGAAAAGATGGACAAAAAGAAGAAGGAAAAGAATGTGGAAAATGTTTATGCAAACAGTTTAAGCCATGGAGGAGGCACAGGGGGCACTAGGTGGCTGTGCAGAAAATGTTGCCATTTCCATGCTAAACGTTATTTAGCGTCTAGTTACATGCTTGTGCCACACGTGGCACGGCATCCTTTGGCAGGGTGTTCTGAGCCGTGGCGCCTCAATTACAGGAGTCCATGAGAGCTGCAGGGGACCAGTGCTACAGGCTGATTGGGTTACATGCTCGTTTTACTCATGCGATGAATACACAGAAATACGCCTCATCCTCTCTTCTTTTCGAGGATTCTCACATCGTTTTGGATACCACTTGAAAGAGTCCTCTTTTCGCTTTGGCTTTCACTTCTTTATACAAAATTGTCGAAAGAAATCTTTGTGGAAAGTAGTTGGATTGATCGTTTTACGTTCAACGCGGGCTTGGGAATTCTCAAACAAATATTTCGGGGCCCTCTCCAGATTTGCATTTAATTATTCCAAAAATCCCATACTAAATCGATGGTTAGACACAATTTAGTTGGAGTTTCCTTGGTTTTTGCTTGAAATATAAGAAAGTACATCAAAAACTATTCATGAAAACATTTGATATCATGAGGAATTATAGAATGTTTGGAATATATTGATCTGTGATCCAATTATAAAAGAGAAATCCATAAGTAGATCGATCTCTGGATCTCTAGATAGATCTCGCCCACTCCTTGGGCTATCACATTCTTCCGTATCGTTCCCTGTGTCATCTTTGGACAAGACTCTCTCCTGTCGCTGTCCATTCGGTCGCTAATTAAATTGATGGAACGTCTGGAGTGGATTAACTTCCTTTCGTATTCCGAGGACCAACCCCCGGCACTTGGATTCGATTGAGTTGAACGTTTTGCTTTTGAGGTTTCCGCATTCCGACTGCAATCGTATACCCAAGGTCAATGGAAATGCGTGGTGCGTGGTGCGTGGTGCCTGTTGTGTGGGTTCAGGGGATGGATGGATGGATGAATGGGACACTTTTCCACCATATCCACCCTCACTCTCGCTACGCATTTGCCGGAAAATAGAAACAACATTTCGTTTCGTTTCGTTTCGTTTCCCAGCACAAAACTAATAATTAAATCGACAAATGAATTCACACCCTTCTCTATCCGAGCGAGAACCCAGAAATTACGATCTATGGAGCGGTCTATCGTCTATGCGCCGCATCCCCTAATATCATTTCTTTTTCAAGGCCAATGACATTGGTCATCCCGTCCGTCCGTCCGTCCGTCCGTCCGTCTCTTGTATTGATTCATTGATGGGTTTCCGAAATTCGTCAAGAAGTGTGAGAGATTCTGTTTCCTGTCTTCGCGACTTTAATCATTCAAGTGGGCTTCTATGGGATCGCTAGAAAACTAAAGACTCGTACAATCATGATTTTCGGCTGCTTCTGATGTTCCGCGTTTCTTGAGACGTCGTGCGGCAGAGCCCCTCGGCTGCTTGAGCCGATTTAAAACTTTTTCTACTATTTGTATGGATTGCTATTGGGTCTCGCGTAACAATCTTCATGTCTAGTATTTTTCTGGTTCGTTATATACATATCTAGTATTTATTTTAGTATTTTATGGATTGTATCAGTGGTAAGTCTTAAGCAACTATGTAATATCTGTTGGTATTTTGTTTAGTATTTTGTAATATTTTTTACTTATGGGATTGCTATTCAATCCTCTTCAATTTCGCAATATTCTTTCCTTCCTTCTTTCAAACAAAAGACCCCATCCACTCAACTGATTTAAAAGCCTGGAACAACATTGTAAGAATTTCTCATCTGTTTGGAAGAGTTCCAGCGACTTCCTGGTGCGCCCACCCGCCCTTTTCGAGGAGTGTGTGTGTGTGTGTGTGTGTGTGTGTGGGGAGGGGGGGGGGCATGCAGCATGCACTGCACACACATTCCCTGGGATCTGGGGGCTCCCTCCGTCGCACCGCGGGGCTAAAACAATTTACGACGCGCAGTCAATAAATTTCAATTAGACACAAAAACAACACAAACCGAAACCAAAGTCTGGGGCAGGGGCACAGGCAGGGGCAACCTTCACCCTTTCTGCCTGCCTTTTTCCGAGTGCATCTGCCCTTCGTCTCTGTTTTTGTTGCATTTGCATTTCGAAACTCCCATAAAATACCAGAGATATACAACCAGAAATCAGAGGATGGAATCGATTTTATGCTAGTTTTTGGGAAACTAAAATTTCACAGAAAGTATGCCCCCGAAAATCTCTCACATTTCTTAACCTTTTTGTCATATATCGTTGAAAAATGTTAGTTCGTAAAAACACGATAAAAGATACAGATCAAAATTAAAAATCTCAGTTAAACTTTTAGTAAATTTTGAACAACAAATTCCAAAACATACAAAATCTTTGCTAAATATTTTCGGTAGAAAAACAAAATAGGCAACATTTTCAGTACAAAAAGAAGTGGAAAAAAGTTTCCATCTACAAACAAAAATGCCCAACAACTCACGAGTGCAATATTTTCCGGTGAGTACAAATATTTTCGAAATTGAAACTATTTATACGTTTCTCCGGTCGTTTGTTCCTTGCAGGGCGGCCTGAACATCCGCACCTGCGAGCGGTATCCGCATCAGAGGCAAACGGAGTTCTACCGCACACCCGAACCGCGCCCCTCGGCCCAGGGCCAGAAGGCGGAACATGACGCAGAACGATTGAATCGTCCACCCGGTCCTGAGGCACCCGTACGGGGTCCCCGCATCCAGCCAGCGCGAACCTCGGAAACACGAGCATTTCGCAATGCCTACTTTTCCTAGTGCGGCGAATTGGCACATCCACCTGATGCTTGAAGAAATGCTTATCCTTTTTGTAACATTCTTTGGAAATGAAGCTTAAGAACGGATTGTTTTTTGTGGTGTTATTTTCGTTATTTCTTGTAATTTCGTTTGAATAGCAAACGATTTCGATGATGCGTAAAGCGCGTCATGCGGCAGCGTTCCTCTGCTAATGGGGCGGGAGTTGGTTTCCATTTTTTTTAGGCATTCACGCGGAAATGCATAAATATTATTTCTGGTATTTGTCGGTTATTACTTATGTCATTCTGAAATTTCGGGTATTATTTGTTGTATTATTGTGGTATTTTTCTAGTACTGGATAACGGTTTTCCTGTATCTTTCTAGTATTTTTCGGTATTTTCATGGTATTAATGCTAGTATTTTTCGGTTATTACTTGTAATATCATTCTGCAATTTCTGGTATTTTTTATTGTATCATTGTGGCATTCTTTTAGCATTGGATAACGGTTTTCCTGTATCCTGTATACAATTTTTTGGTATTATTTTTTGGTATTTTCTATGTGGCATAACTTTTTGTCAGCCCGTTTAGAAATATTCGAATATTCATTGAAAAATACTTTGACACCGTGTGGATGGCGCCTGTCCTGCCATTGAATGTCGTATAGAATCGTGACCTCTGTGTGGGGTTCAAGTAATTAGTAAACAGACATTTCGTGTTATTCCCCCCCGAAAACTTTGGCCATATAAAAATGATGACTTTCATAATGCAGCGCAAAGAGAAGGAGTACAAGGAGGAGGAGGAGGAGAAGGAGAAGGAACTGCTGCAATGGTGCCACCACCCCTCACGTACTATAATTCATATTGTAGTTTTCCCTTCTGGGGCATAAACCTACCCACCCAGAAGGGAGAAGTGGGAGTATTCGTTCAGTATTCGTTATGATTCATGGCTACTACAACAGTAAACTAAATATTAATGACACACACACAGACACGCAACCGAATGTCTGCGAGTGGAGTATATTATTTGGAGGACAGAAAAAGTCACCCTCAAAGGAGAAGGAAACGACGCCTCACGGAAGAGAGGCATTTCGTTTCTTCCTTTCGCCGAACCGAACCTGTGTTTTCTCCCCTCTCCTCTTCAGAGTTGATTTTGCTTCCGATAACCGATAACCGATCGTGTTTATGGCACGGCAGCGTTGCTTTCTACAGGAGTTTTCCCCTATTTTCCACCAATCAAACCTGAAAATGTTTTTCTTTTTGCTTTCTGCATTTCCGGTATTTGCTGGCAGCATCTTGTTGCCGTTTGATGTTTTAGATGGAGAGGAAGAGAGTGCGTGAAGCATCAACAAATTCGCTGTCGGGAGATACTATTTTTAGAGAATTTTCTGCACAGATCTGGCGTTTGCGAGTTCATGGGAGGGGGATGTGGGATTTCAATGGGTTTCAATATTTGGTTTCCATTTCTTGAGCATTTTTTTTGACAGAACTTCTCAAGAACTCCTTCTAAAGGTCGCTTTCGAGCGCCAGTCACTTTTGATTCACGCATTCCTTGAGATGACTCATTCAGTCCACTCAAATATGAATTATTGATTCACATAATGTTTTAATTAGACATTCCACAAGAGGTTTTTATTCAGCACTTTTCCAGGGTTGCATTTGAGTGTTTTTCGAACTCTAATTCTGTTATCCTTCTCTTCCCATTCCCCTTCGTTCCATCAGAGTTTTTAGCTACGGTTGTGCCACGTGCCACCACGGTGATGGACACCGAATGGGTGTGGTGCGGTGTGCTGTCTTATCTGCAACTGCGGCAACTGGCATCTGCGAATTTGTGCCCCTGCATTTAATTGCCCCAGCATTGGACCCCCTTCCCCCCTTCCTCCGCTCGACCTTGCTGCCATGATAATTGTTTTTCTTTAAGCCTCGTTTTGCGCTTCATTTACGAGAGGCGTGGGGCGTGGGGCGTGTGGCGTGGGGTGTGGCGGCGGCCATCTGATTGGTATGGGAGTCTTTTCTGGACTTATATTCAGTTTCAGAGTACTGTCGAGTATATATCAAAATTTATGTACTAAATCATCTTGTGTGGGTCTTTTTCGGATTCTCTTTGGAATTTCCACACGAAAGTCTGCTATAGAATCGAGTATATATTCACTGCTTGATTTCTGTTGGAAATATCATCTATAGAATTATCCACTTAACTTTCCAATTGATTTTTCGTGCTGTATCGAGGAAAATGCATCAAGAAATTACATTCCATTCCCCAATCGGTTGCTCGTTTTGCACGTTTCAGGGGGTTAACTATTTTTTATTGTCTACAAAGGGGGAGCCCCTGCTCCCCCTATTACTCTGGTATTTTTACATCAATCGAATGTGAGATCCGGTCGTCTGTTGGTCAGGGCTTGGCTCCAAAGATTCACATTTTTGTTGACAAAATCGTTGACGCGTAACGCGACACCGTCGGGGTGGGTAGGGGGGTGCAGGTTGGGCACCCCACTCCCTTTTTTTTTGTAACAGAAACCTGTTGCTTTTTGGTTTCGATTTCAATTGAAAGTTCGATCGAAAAGAAGGGATCCCACTCAAACGCCATTCCAACGTTCTAGCATTATTATTATTTTTTTTTCTGTTTTTGCTTGAGCTGTTTTTGTTTATTTCTCTTAAATATTCCGGCATAAAGTCACATGCAAAAAAATGATTTAGTTGGAGGGAAAAATGTGTACTCGGAAAAGTCACGTCTCGGGGTAGTATTCTCTATTTATTTACCGAAAATAGGGGAACACCTTTGGGGCTTAGACATGATCTTCAAACGTTGCCCAATAAAATCGAGACAACACGAAAAAAATCAATTGGAGAGGAGTGCAAAAACAAAACTGAATCCTTGTCACTAATTAGGACTCCACTCCATCTCTCTGACATAGAGTTTTTCTTCTTTGTGTCTCTGTGGCATTTATAAGCCTACGATTTCCAAAATACCCTTTCTCTTTCAAAAATACCACCTTTTCTGCAGGATACAATGGATTTCCAAGCAATTTAACAGTCTTCTTTCTCTCCCTCGCTCTGTCTCTTCTTGCGCTGCTTTAGACGAGTGTGAGAGAATGCAAGAATGCTGATTAATGTCTCTCTCTATCTCTCCCTCTCTCTGTCTTCAAGGCCAACGCAAAAGCTTTGCATGCGGATATGCGGGTGTGTGCGGAGCGGAGCGGGGAGAAACCAAAAACACGATGCGAAATAATTGAATTTAATTAACATGGGAAACAGTGACACAGAGCGACGCACACCGAGTGCCAGCAGCGGCAGCGGCAGCGGCAGAGGAGGAGGAGGAGGCTGTGAGAGCGAAGGAGAGACAGGGACAATCATACATCACTCCACTCCACTCCCATAGATAACTGTTGTTTTCTCATACAATGTTGTCTTTCCGTTTTTTTGTTTTGTTTTTGTCGTAAAAACACTCTTTCTTGAAAAATTTGAAAGTTAATTAAATAAATGTATTTATGTGATATGCAAAACCATAGAAAACAAGTTTGACAATCGCGGATTTCAAAGAAGATCTCTACGAAGATTGAGAATGAGAGTGGTTTGTCCAGAACCAATATCCAGTATTCATAGCTCGGAAACCTTTTGCTACTCTGGCTAAAACTATTAACTGTAATTTGGGATGCATCTTAGGCTGCAATTTTGTGAATAAACAAAATAAATAAGATAGACTTTAACAGATAGACAATTCGATGGAACATTCATCGAATGTTGAGTGCTGTTCAAAGTTCCCATAAGCGAATGGGCCACCAAACATTCATCGAATAATGCTGTACAATTTACCTTGTTTTTTTTATATAGGATACATATGTCTTTCTTTCAATATCCGTTCAATAAAAACCATAAAAAGAACGTGATCCGCAGGAATAGTTCTTTTATATCTTATTTTGTCTTTTGTTTATGAAACTTAACTTTTATATTTCCATTTAAACCATTTTTAAACAAGATAAGAACAAAAATTGAAGTCGGTTTGTATTTTTTTAGGCATACAACATTTTGCTTTATACAAATTTTGGAATCTTTTTGTTTTGCTATATTTCTATACAAAACTGTATACGCTTTCCATCATAATAATGACACAGAAAAAATATATACATATATTCATGGAATACAATTTTGAAAAATACGAAGAAAATATGCAGTTTCAATTATTTTGTATTTCAGGGCTTCCAACTTCTGAACTTCTTTAAGAGAATAGGTATACCATTTGGATGGATGGATTTTTGTGTGGTTTTGGATATAAATGATATGACTCAAGACTCTATAGAACTGAACAAACCAAGAAATGAGAGGCACTAGTTTTTTCTTTATAACTTTTCCAAACCCCAGGAAAAACAATAGTGCTTTTTACTTTTCTTTGCTTTGCTATCTTTTCAGATTGACTTTTAGCACCCCCCACCCTCCCCTGCAGTGTGGATAATATCTGTAGATTTGTTGAAGAATTCTCTCGCTCTCTTCTGCAATCGTATGGTATGTCTTACCTGAATGATAAATGCTGCCAGAAATGCTAAACTCCATAGCCATAAATGTTGTTCAACGGCTTTTCTGGTTGTTGTTGTTGTTGTTGCTGCTGCTGCTGTTGTTGCACGTTGGTGTTTCTGCTGCTGCTGCTGCTGCTGCTGCTGCTGCTGTTGTTGTTTTTGTGTTGTTTTTTGCCTTTTGAGTCGAATTCTAGTTGTTGCTTTGCTTAGCTGGTACAACATTTTGTGGCCGTCGTTTTGGCTTTTTTGTTGTTGCTGCTGTCTGTCGCTTCTCTTCTGTGTGTGGCTCTCTCTCGCTCTCTCGGTAGCTGGTAGCTGTTTGTTGTTGCTGTTGCTTTTGTTTACACTCTGAATTGTTTCGTTTCTTAGTTTCTTTCAATTTTTGGCATTTTCAGCACGAGTTTAGTTTTTACTTTTATTAAATGCATCATTTAAGCAATTTCTTTCGTTTTTAGTTGATTTTTTGGTTTGGTTTGAAATTCGATGGCTTTTTCGGGGGGCTGTCTGCAAAAGAGAGACTTCCAATGAGGTAATGGTACAGGGAGAGCGTGAGCGCGAGAGCAAAAGAGAGAAGAAAAAAACAGCAGTTTTCAAGCTGAGCTTTGGTTTGCTTTGGTTACGGTTGCCAAGCTTTCGCCTTACGATCAGATCTCTCTCTCTCTCTCTGTGTTTTTGCTTGTGCGTGTGTGTAGAATACCCTCCACCCCCTTTTTGCACACAGAAATACATAGTCGTTAATTGAAGTGCACGCACCATCCTACAGCCACTACCGCCCCTCGCCCAGAAACACCTTCAGTCTTTGGCTGACGTCAGCGAAAGCTTTGCTTTTATGAAATATTTAAATGCAAAATAAAAAAGGAAACACACAAGTATAAATAAAATAAACAAACAATTAAAACACTAAAAGCAAAAACCAGTTTTGCAAGGGTATACACTTTGCAGACCCAAAGAGGGTCACATGATTTGGAGTCACAGCTTGGGGATCACTCAAGAAGTAATTTTTGTAAGGAGCAAAAAAATCAAAAGACTTGTTTTTTGTATGCAAAAAATTAACGTTTCTGTTGGCTTTCTAAGCGCCCACACTTAAGACCGCACTTAGTTGATTTATAACCATTAAATACTCCTTTTTGCATTTGACCCAAATCGTCTGATCTGTGCAGGGTATCTTAGTCTTCGGTTTGCCTCAAAATCAGGTCTTTTCCTTTCCTTCGTTTTGTGAAGTGTGGCCTAGGGTCGTGTTTAGGTTTTTTTTTGTGGTTGTTGTCGCTATGCTAAAAAAAAAACAACACCAAAAAGACCTTCAACTTAAGTTTTCTGCTGAGAGCCGACACACAGAGAGAGAGAGAAAGAGAGAGAGCGAGGGAAAGAGAGCAGCTTGAGATGGCATTGCCAGAGATGGAAGATTGCATTGATTACGGCACTGATTGATCTTTGGGATCTCTAGCGTGGAGCCACAAAGAGAGACAGATGGAGAGGGAGAGCTGGCAAGCATTGTTCAGCTATGAAGTGCAGTGAAAAACAAAAATAAAAATCTACCTACAAAAGCTCATTAAAATAAAAAACTAAAACAAGTTTTAGTTGTGTGCTCTCTCGCTCTGCACCAGGTATAATGTTTATTCCAAGAGGAATGGCATCTACAGGAACTACATATAAACCTACTAAAGCTATGGAACTTCAATGGAACCCTTCCTAAATCCCTATAGGCTTCCGACGATATCTGCAAACGGTATCTCCCGACTCATCTCTCTTGGGCCGCTGTTCCTCCACCTGAATGTGGGACAGACAGAACCGGAGGAGACAGACAAGTTTCTGCATTATTATGGATTATTTATCATTCATAAAAAGTTCATGGACTGTGCTTTCGGCATTTCTTCAATTACCAAAAAACAACAAAAACAACCACGAGAGACAGGAAGTGGAGAAATTTTCATTCAAATTCAAGCACACACACACGCACGCACACACACACACACAACTAATGGAACACAGAGAAAAAGAGAGGAAAAGACAATTGCTAAAAACACGCTGGTTGTGGGTGAGGAGAAGGTGTGCAGGCGGAGGAGGATGAGGATGGATGCTGGGCAAATGGTAGTGAGAGAGGGGGGCAGGGCGAGGGTGGGCGCGAGAGAAAGCAACGGCATGCCAAAAAACGACTGCCGCCGGGTTGCGTAGGTGTCGCTACTTCTGTTTTTGTTGTTGCCGCTGCTGCGACGCACTGTAGACCGCACACACACATACCAGTCTGAACCAACAAAAAAAAGAAAACAACTCTCAATTTCTGCTTTTACTTTAAGCTTAATTCAGCGTTGCGTTTCGTTTCTTACATTTTCCAATGCGCAACAACAACAACAAATGATTCATGTATTAACGGGCCAAAAAACCAGGTTGTCTTAACCCTCTCGCGACATCTTGGGATTCAACAAACACACACACCAATATTAGTTGAACAAAATTTTTTGTACATTTTCGCGTTCAAAACATTTCTGTGGTAAACCGTTGAAGACGAAGAAGAAAACAACAACAAAAAAACGTACCAACACGAACACACACAGACGTAACGCGCGCGCACACATACACTGGCATAAACAGCGTCAGAGTCGGTGAGGGGACGGACGGGACGACGACGACGACAACGGCGGTAACAGCAGAAATTTAGAAAAAAATTCGACACTATTTCTGTGCTTCCATGTCCGCGGCCCGTTCATTCATGTTCACATTTGGGGGGCTGCAAGGCCGTTTCATTCAAATCCGCCCGCTGGGAACTTGTTGTGGAAAAGAGGGTATGGACAGCAAGCGAGACGGCCTAGAAAATGCAACGTATGCTACGTAAAGTCCACCCTTTTTCATAATATACCATGGAAGGAAGTTTATAAAATTTCCCCAATGGGAAATTTCTGGCAAAAAATGGGGTATGGACAACAGGGAAAACGGTCCAGATAGTGCAACGCATGCAAGGTAAAATCGACCCTTTCTGCCTAACATACCATGCAGCAAACAATAAGTCCGCCCTCATAGCATATTCTTGATCAAGAACGGTGAGGTGAGGTTCGTACGAGCAATGAAATTTCCCTTCGCTGTATTCGCCTGTTGTTCATACCTTTCCACAGACCAAAGAGAGCGTTTTTACTTATTTTTGCGTTTCAAATATGAGCTCACTCATATTTCAACATGCTGAAACCGTTCATGGCATATCAGAGTCTAAGATGAAGTTCGAATAGCATGATGTTTATGTTGCTGGGATGATATTGATGCCTTCCATGATGATATAATACAAGGTGGTGTATTGCCTGTATTTCGCGTCTTATTTAATATGTTTGTTTTCTATACTTTTCGTTCCTTTTTGTTGCTGTGAAATATGTAACATCAAAATACAAATAATTTTCATGTTGTTCTATTATAGCTTATATTATATCAGCATGTTAAAGAGCGTGTTGTTCCCTACCTTTTATTATTCTACCATGTGTGTTGTTTGGCTGATCGATATTTGTTTGAATAACGATAACGATGAATGTTTATTGGCGCGCCGGGTCTTGGTTTTGAAAGCACAGGTCTATAACGTTTTCATAGGATTCATAGGATTCTGGCAATAAAGCTAATTTGGTTTACAACTTTGATACGGAGAAAAGAACTGAAAGCCCGTTCGACTTAAAATTTAAAATGGTTGCCAGCGCGCCAACTCAGATTTCATATGTGGAATAGTTGTGCTCTTCAGACACGCATCAATCAACTGCGCAAGCTCACCCCGCTCAGAGTTGCTTTCTCGACGGCTGGTATCGATACATTGCGATGTTTCGTGGCGGGCTTTGAGATAATTTAAATTGACAACGAAAAAAAAGAGTAAAAAGTCGCATATATTTATAATTTATTGTTTATTAACACACACTCATTTGTGTGAACTGTTGTTTATGGTAATTATGAATAATTATTGTTAATTACAGGCTATGCTTTAGTTGCTAGAATTTAGCAAAGTTCCTAAACAAAAATGACATTACACAATAATATTACATCGATTTTCACCGTTCCGATACGTTTTACAATTATTTCGACAAAACCAATTACGACAGCGCAACCAAAGAAAAAAAAACAAGAACAAAATTAATATTAAAATAAAAGTATGTTTTTTTGAAACCGAAAAGTGTTTAAAGAGCACAACTCCGTTCCGTACCCAAGGGATCGTACGATTCGCATTTTCAATGAACATTACAATTACGCACTAGGCAAAACGAAACGCTCTAAAATAGAAGTAATCAAAAAAAATGATTAAACTAATAAATTGAGCTACGCAAAAAAATATTTAGTACAAGTTATGGATGCAAGTATTATATAAGAATAACTATAAACATTGAATTTCGCTATAAAAAAAAACACGCACAAAATCAAATAAAAACAATAAACGTGGCCGTGACAATCCCCCTCCCTCCCTTCCCCCCACCCCCCACATTCACCAACTAAACTCTTCCAAAAAAAAAAAAACAAACAAAACAAACAAACGAAAAAACAGCCCATATCTGATAAGAACACCTTCTCTCTCTGCCTCAAGGACAATGGCAAAGGCTTTGATAATGAGTGGTGGTGTGGGGCTGAGGGGGGAGTACGAAAATCAGCCTTGGTCTCAATTTCACTAACGCAACATTTGATCGGAACATTGGAAATTACAAATGAATTGATTATATTGCTTTTTAAGCATACAATGTTGTCCAATTTTCGAGATAATGAACTTGAAAACAAGACTCAAATTTTGAGAGAGATATGCATACTAGTGAAATTCTCCATAGGAAATACTATGGCTCCGGCATATATATTTCGACCATTTCTTTGTAACGTGCCTTTCCTCCTGCTTTTTGTATGGCTTCCATGGCAGACTGTCCCTTAACAGGGATATTTCACTGTACTCCTCTCTATCTTTCTCTCTCTGCCCCACTGGCTGACCCCCCCCGCACACCGACAACACCTGTTCGTTCTCTCGCTCTCTCTATCTCTCACTCTCTCAGTGTTCGGATGAGTATTGCTTTGACATCTCTCTGAAGCCAGGCTTCGGACGTGGGTTAGAGTGAAACGGATGGATGCCTGGACTGGACTGGGCTGTGTGTGGGTGGGTGGGTGGTGTGATTGATGCGATAGCGATAGGCTCGGATCGATTGGCCTCAAATCGATGTTCTAACTGTTAATGAGTAGATATTGGGTGGTGGAGGGGAGGGAGCGAGGGTTCGTGGACCCGAACACTGGACGCACACACACACACACACACTCACACATTCATGCATACATATATACACTATTCTATTTATTACATAACGATGCTAACAAAGTTTTTCTTTTCACTTGGAAGGCAAACAAGCATTTCACAACACTGGACATGGATCTTCCTTGGCCGCCACCGTCGCCTCCTCCTCCTCCTCCCGCGTCTTGCTCCTCCACCACCTCATCCGTCTGGTCATTGCAGCGCACTCGTCAATGCCGCCCTCAGCTGTGTGGTTGTGGGCGTGGCCGGTGACTTGTGTAGCACACTGGGCCTCGCCTGAACAGCGGACTGGGACTGGGACTGGGTCTGGGGATGGGTATGGGATTGCAGATGGAGGTGGAGAGGAGGCGGAGTATTACTATTGGGATCGGGGGTATCCGGTATATCACCGCTGACACTGCTGGCGGGTGAGAGCATCGAGCTGGTTTCCGTCTCGCTTAAACAGCTGCTCAGCTGTCGAATGACCCCAGTGCCGGATTGCTCGCGCTGCAGCTGCTCCTGCTGTTCCTGCTGCTCCCGCTGATAGAGAAACTTGCGAGCAGCCGTCACATTGACCACACTCACCGACTTCGAGATGGAATTCTTTACAGAACTGGGTGCTGGCGGCACCAGGGCCAACTGGTTCTGCGACTGGGACTGTGTGGGCGATGGGGCCATCTCCTCCAGGGTGAGCATGGTGGCTGACGAGGAGGCCGGTGAGCTATAGCCGTCGTCCAGCATGCTGGTATCCATCGGCTGCACACCCCCGGACTCGGACTCCACGCTCTTTTGCAGATTCTCAATGAGGTACAGGACAATCCGTTCCAGCTGTTGGGGCGCCTGGGAGGCGGGCAGATCCGGACTGCTGCTCTGTGTCGGCACGTCCGCCTTGATGATGGTCGAGAACTTGTTCTTCATCTCCTGCACCTTCTGCCGTCCGGCCTCCTCGTCGAGCAACGTATTGACGCACAGGAATGAGTGCACCTTGTTGCTGCCGCGATCGATCTCCAGAAATCCCTTCGTATGCAGGTAGATGAAGCGTCCATTGCGCGACAGCAGACGGTAGCAGCTCTCGCCGTAGTCGCTGTTGCAGTCGTACATCTGCCGCAGAGCCACAATCACCCAGCGGACATCGTCCAGATGCATGAAGCAGAAGGGACTGAGATTTCGCACCTGCAAAACAAAAGAGTGGTTGGTTTGGCGGGATTTTGGGGGGTTTGGTGGGGTGGCACATTACCTCATCCTTCATGTAGCCCGCCACCAGGCCAATCCTTTGATCACAGTCAATGATGCTGCCGTCGATGAGGTGCCGCGTCCGATACTCCAGCTGGTACGGTTCCGGCTGGCGGTAGAGCAGACTGGAGCCGAAGTCCTCGCACTCGGGCGACTCTGCCCGTACACGATCCTCGCGCAGCACACGGGCCATGGCCACCAGGACGATGTCGTTGCCACTGATGCCATGCAGTGCCGCCTGGGCAATGGCATCGTGCTGGGGCAGGCAACCGGTGATGGCCGCCGCTGCTGCTGCTGCCGTCGCCTCGGCCGCTGCCGCCGCTGCTGCTGCGGCCGCTGCCAGCATATTGTTGTTGCGCGACCTTCGAATCAGCTGCGAGACAATTGGATAATTGGCGGCCGCCCCGCCCGTCAGCGAGGAGTCGCTGCGCCGAAAGCAGCCGTCGATCTTCACCAGCTCGTACTGGCGGGTCGCCTCGGCGCGGGTGGAGGCGCGTGCCACACGAATGGTGAAGCAGCGCCGGTCCGAGCGTAGCCTCTCATCGATGGCCGCCAGATGGGCAATGGTACGGGGGCTGGGGCTGCCACGCTGGTAGAGCTCTTCGCAGTCGTCTTGGTCATCCGCTGGCATATCCTCGTTGTCCGGGTCCGCCTCCTCGTCGGCATCCTCCTCCACATCGCTGTCCGAAACGGAGACCGATGTGGACGTCGAGCGGTGCTGCTGCTGTGGCTGTCGTTTCTGCGAATGCGTCGTCTGGCGCTGTTGATAGAACAGCGTCTCGATGTCGCGTGGAATGAGCTGCTGTCGGAGCAGGGCCTGGTCATCCGGATGCGTGATCTGCAGCAGATTCTGCCCATACAGATCCGACTGACAGTGGCCCAGCAGCTGCTCCACGCTGGAGGAGACCAGCACGATCTGGCCATTGCAGGTGATGGTAATGAAGCAGCTGTCGAGCAGCTGCATCAGTGTGTCCGTCAGATGGAGACTGGGATTCTGTGTGCCGGCTGCCGCTGGACTGCCGCTGCTCGACTCCTGCGACGACACACCCTTCAGGCAGAGTATCCTCCGACGCCGTGTGGCCGACTTCCCGAACACATACTGCAGCCGGAGGCCGTGGGTGGCGAAGCGCAGGACGGCCGTCTTGTCCAGGCGGCGCGAGGATTCGGCTGCATGTGGCACCATGGTGGCCAGCTCCTGGATGCTGGCATTGAGCTTGTCCCGGCGCTGCTTTTCGGCCAGATTTCGGGCCTCTCGGCCATTGGCTGCCTCCGAGGCAGCCGCCGCCGCTCCTGAGCCGGAGCCCACGGCTGCTGCTGCGACGTCTACGGCGGCAGCGGCTGTTGCTGTCTCTGCTGCGGCCATTGCGCACGTTACTAGTTTGAGTGTGTGTGTGTGTGTTCTGGTGGTGGTGTGTATGTGTGTGTGTGGGGGTAAATTGTTTTTGCCTTGCTTTTGATTGAAACGTTCTTATGGTTTTCCACCGTTACCCGTTACCCGTTCCCCTTCGCTAATTGGCGCCTTGCGGAAAATGGAAATCGTCACTCTCCATAACAGGATGGGGAGTGTTCTCTCACTCGCACTCGCACTCCCTACTTCCACTGGTACTGCTAGTGCTGCTGCTGCTGCTGCTAGTGCTGCTGCTGGCTGGCTCTCTCTCTCCCTCTCACGATGTTTCTATTTCTTCTATTAGTTTTTAATATTTGATATAAATATACATATATACATACATATGTATATATATTTTTGCTTTTCTTTAAAGTTTTCAAGGTCTCGCTTATGCTGTCGTGATGTTGTTGCTGTTGTTCTTGTTGTTGTTTTTGTTATGGCTAACCACCTTTGCCTACGACCCTCTCTCGCTCTCGCTCGCTCGCACTGTCGCGCGCGCACACCATCAAAAGTCACTCTCTCACGCAACGTTGTACATATGTTTTCTCTTTTTTTTGGGTTTTTTTTTTATTACTGTTTATTTGCCTCAGCTGAGAATTATTCTTTTTCCGTATTTTTCCGCTTTTTTCGTATTGTTGTTGTTATTTTTAATTTATTTATTTGTTAGTTTTTTTCTAGTTTTTGTTGTATTTCTGATTGCGTTGCAAATTTACGTTGTTTTTTTGTTATTGTTGTTGTTGCTTTTGCTGTTAATATTATGTTTGTTGTTTTTGTTGTTGCGGATCGTCGTAGGTGAGTGAGGTAAGTGCTGCTTTGCTGTGCTCTCGCTATCTCTCTCGTATGGCAATTTGAGCTGCGTTTATTTTTACATCACACATATACCACTATTCGCACTAGTTTTGTTTATATTAAGTGATTAATTGTTTATTAAACAATTATGTAGCGCACGACGACATTTGTGGTTGCGTATCGATATATCGATCGATGACATGCGATATGTTTTGCGAAACTGCACTGCCATAATCGGTATCGGTAGTCGGTATATTAAATTTAATTTTCAACGGTATATAGAAATGCAATAAAAGCAATTATTTAAATTAAGCCAATCAAGTAGAAAATTGATTCATCAATCGTATAACGTTATGTGGGCATGGCTAAATGTTTTATATAGCTAGTAATATTCCACGGAATATACAAATCGAGGAATATAGAACTTGAATTTTTGAGTCAGTATATTTACGATATATTTTTTAAATGAGACGGTATATTTCTGAGGGTTAGACAGTATATTTTATCGATAAGGCCACCATACTGCCAGCTGTGCACGTGAAATCTCTGAAACATCAACGAAGCTTTGGATTTCCTAAAGTAAGCGTAATAGTGATCCCTTTCGTTTATTCAATCCTTGTTACGAGACTAAGCCAGCCAACCACTTTCCCACAGATATGTCTAAGGCCAAGGGAAAGAAGAAGGAGCGCTTCGATGACGACGACGAGCAGCAGCCCGAGAAAGTGGTTGTCCACGAGAAAAAGCAGCCTAACAAGAAAGGTGGCAAGAAGGGTAAACGTGGCGGTGGCGACTCCAGCGACGAGGACCAGCTGCCTTCCAAGGCGAGCGGCGGCAACAACAGGGATGCCGAGGATCTGGAAAGTGTGGCCTCCTCCAATCAAAGCCGCCAGCAGCAGCAGCCGAAGAAGGGTGCAAAGAAGGGTAAGAAGGGCAAGAAGAACGACGACTGGAGCGATGAGGATGAGAAGCTAGTGAAGGGTGCTCCTCCGCCATTGGCCAATGATGATGAGGACGATGACGAGGATGCGGCGGCGGCGGCTCCTGTCGCCAAGACCCCGGCCAAAAAGCAGCCACAGGGCAAGAAGAATAAAAAGAACAAGAAAAAGGCTGCCGATGACTTCAGTGACGATGAGGAGGAGCACGACCTTCAGCTGGAGGAGGACGACGATGACGAGGAGGAGGCGCCTCAGATGATAGCCAAGCCCTCGGCCAAGAAGTCCAAGAAAAAGCAACAGCAAAAGAACAAATTTGCCATGAGCGATGACGAGGAGGATGATCTAGAGGATGCGGTGGAGGAGCCTCCACCAGCAGCCAAAAAGTCCAGCAAGAAGCAGCCGAGGAAATTGTCCATCAGCGAGGACGAAGAGAAGCTCGAGGATGAGCCCGAAAAAGAAGTAAAAGAAGATAAAGTCGCTGAGATAATCAGCGAAAAAATAGCTGCCGTTTCACTCAAGGAACCCGAAGTGGTGGAGGTTCCACCCGTCACTAAGGCGGAGCCCGAACCGGAGCCAGAACCTAAGACCAAGGTGCAGGACGAGTCGGAAGAGGAGGCGGAGGCCACACGCAAATCCAGCGAAGAGCCTTCGGAGGCCAAGGAGAAAAAGCTCACGCACAAAGAGAAGAAGAAACAAAAGAAACAGCAGGAATACGAGCGCCAAATGGAGCTGATGACCAAGAAAGGCGGTGCCGGACACTCGGATTTGGATAACAACTTTACCATGTCGCAGGTGCAAAAGACCGCCGGCCAGCAGGCGGCCCTCGAGCATGCTGTGGATATAAAAATTGAGAATTTCACAATATCAGCAAAGGGTGAGTCATCATTCGAAGGTTTCCTATTGATATCGTGATCCCATTGCTGATTTCTCTCTCTCTATCTCTCTCTCTCTGTCTGTGTCTCAGGCAACGATCTGTTTGTGAATGCGAATCTACTGATTGCCCATGGCCGCCGCTATGGCCTGGTGGGCCCCAATGGACATGGCAAGACAACGCTGCTGCGTCACATAGCCACACGTGCCTTTGCCATACCGCCCAACATTGATGTGCTGCTCTGCGAGCAGGAGGTGGTTGCCACCGACAAGACGGCCATTGAGACGATCCTGGAGGCCGATACGCGTCGCACTCAGACGCTAAAGAAAAGCGAAGAGCTGGAGAAACAGTTCGCCAACGGCGACATGAGCGTCCAGGAGGAGCTGAACGATATCTTTGCAGAGCTGAAGGCCATTGGCGCATACTCCGCCGAGGCCAGGGCGCGCCGCATATTGGCAGGTCTTGGGTTTAGCAAGGAGATGCAGGATCGTCCCACAAACAAGTTCTCGGGTGGCTGGCGGATGCGTGTCTCGCTGGCCAGGGCTCTCTACCTGGAGCCCACGCTGCTGATGCTGGACGAGCCGACAAATCACTTGGATCTGAATGCCGTCATCTGGCTGGACAACTATCTGCAGGGCTGGAAGAAGACACTGCTGATTGTCTCCCACGACCAGAGTTTCCTCGACAATGTCTGCAACGAGATCATCCATTTGGACCAGAAGAAGCTGCAGTACTACAAGGGCAACTATTCCATGTTCAAGAAGATGTACGTGCAGAAGCGTCGCGAGATGGTCAAGGAGTACGAGAAGCAGGAGAAGCGTTTGCGCGAGCTGAAGGCCCACGGCCAGTCGAAGAAGGCGGCCGAAAAGAAGCAAAAGGAGACGCTCACCCGCAAGCAGGAGAAGAACAAAACTAAGCAGCAAAAGGACGAGGATGAGGGCCCCCAGGAGCTGCTCGCCCGCCCCAAGGAGTACATTGTCAAGTTCCGTTTCCCGGAGCCCTCGCAGCTGCAGCCCCCCATCCTGGGTGTGCACAACATTACGTTTGCCTTTGCCGGCCAGAAGCCGCTGTTCATCAAGGCCGACTTTGGCATCGATCTGAGCAGCCGTGTGGCCATTGTCGGCCCGAATGGCGTCGGCAAGTCAACGTTCCTCAAGCTGCTGCTCGGCGAGCTGGAGCCCCAGCAGGGGGAGCAGAGGAAGAACCATCGCCTGCATGTGGGACGCTTTGATCAGCATTCGGGTGAGCATCTGACGGCCGAGGAATCGGCTGCCGAATATCTGCAGCGACTCTTCAATCTGCCACACGAGAAGGCGCGCAAGGCACTGGGATCCTTTGGATTGGTGAGCCACGCGCACACCATCAAGATGAAGGATCTTTCGGGAGGCCAGAAGGCACGTGTGGCACTCGCCGAGCTGTGCCTCAGTGCACCCGATGTCCTCATCCTGGATGAGCCCACCAACAATCTGGACATTGAGAGTATTGACGCGTTGGCCGAGGCCATCAATGAGTACGAGGGCGGCGTGATTATAGTCTCCCACGACGAGCGACTTATACGCGAAACGGGCTGCACTCTGTACGTGATTGAGGATCAGACCATCAACGAAATCGATGGCGAGTTCGATGACTACCGCAAGGAGGTGCTTGATTCGCTCGGAGAGGTCGTCAACAATCCCAGTGTGGTGGCCAATGCAGCCGTACTGCAATAGGCGGCCCCAACCCCCGACCATCCCTCCTCTCCGCCCCCCAAACGAATGTCTCAAGCCTAGTCCCCGGCCATGGCTATGGCCTCTCTGTTGATTATGTCGCATTGTTAAATGGATTATCCGCTAGTTAGCCTTTTTATACCATATATAATATACAATTAACAAATTGTGAGACAAACCAAAAAAAATGCTTATATTTTATTCAAAGAAAAATACATTAATTATAGGGAGGACTCTGATCAGCCGCTGCGGTAGAACGATTTGACATTGTTCATTAGATGTGCAGCACCGTTGTAGCCATCCGTATCAAAATCAATGTCCTCGCCGCCGAATTCGATGACCTGCAAACGAAAAAAAGAAACAAATGAATGTTCCATTAGCATGTCTAAGCGGGGAGGGAGACTCACCTCCTTGGCGCGTATGGTATCAGCGCCATGGGGGACTCCAATCACCTCCACCCAAGCACCCTGGGCGGCATCCAGATCGGTAGGCAGATTGATGCGCAGCTTTTGATTGTCCGTGGAATTGGCCAGCAGCGTGGACCCGGCGACACTCTCCACGCGCACCATAATGCTGACGGTCTGGCCGGCAAACTGTTTCATCATGCTGCCGTTGATGATGGAGCGTGGATCAAAGGGTTGCATCATTTTGTTTGATTGATTTTTTAATTTTTTTTACAAACAAACGAAAATTGCTGCGACAACAAGAAAGACCGCCAAACAGTGTGACCAGTGGTGGTACGCGCAGAACGATTAGCCCATTGTCGACCAGTGTGTATATGAATACCCTCCACGCAAATTATGAATCTTGAAGAATTTCAGCGCAGTTCAGGTGAAAGATGCCGTGGTAATTTTGTTGAGTAAAGCTGAAGGAAGAATTAATACTACTATTATTGCTGTTTACCTCACCTTTTTATTCTGTTTAAATAAAGGGGGCTTTTATCGATATATTTGAGGTATTTCTGAGGCTCAGACGGTCACACTGCTGCTCTCTCCTGTGACGAAAAAATGAGTCGTACTTGGGAATGGGCTATAAAAAGGGTATCGACAACAGGCAAAAACAGCCAAAGTAAAGTGCATGGTTCGTACGAACCTCACCTCCCGTGTGAGGACAACATACCTTGAAGTCGAATTGACAAGGTATATTGGTCAACGGAGGTGGATGTCACCTTACATGCGACTGCATTTTCTGGGCTGTTTCGCCAGTTGTCCATACCCTCTTTTTCCTTCCATTATGTAGTAAATATGTAGTAACCGTGTAGGGATTATTATAGACTATAGTCTTCTTTGGTGCCGCGCGAACAAACGGGACCGAGAAGCAACAGCACCAGCTGGTCGCGCTAATTGGAAAATTAAACATGCCTAATAAAAACAAATACTCGAGAATTTTTTGGTGTTTCGTGTGAAGTTTGACAAATTGATAAGTGAGTGTCCAGACGGGAGTTGTACGCAAATTCGCTTTGGTCATCAGCTCGGACACAGACACACACACGCGCAGAGTTTTGTAACAATAGAAGAGTGTCCGCGATAGAGAGTCTGGTCTGTGGGCTGTAAGAGAGAGTCCCGCAATAATTACACACACACAGGCAAAATCAGTCGTGCTGAAGTAGATCCTCCTCCCCCGCTCGGGCAAAGTGAAACAAAAGAAATTTCCAAATAAATTTGGAAATGCGAATGCGAAATGAATGACGAGGAGAACGCCAGTAATGTGCCCAGCGCCGCCCAGGCGCAGAGTACGGAACCAGAGTTGACCAGCCATGCGACTCCCTCCCGTATCCGCCTACCCATTGTGGGCATGACATGCCAGTCCTGCGTGCGGAACATACAGGATAACATTGGCAAACGGCCGGGAGTGCTCGTGGCTCGGGTGGTGCTTGAGGAGCATGCCGGCTATTTTGACTACGACGCCAGCCTCATCGACCCGCCGCAGATAGCCGAAGCCATCGACGATATGGGCTTTGAGTGCAGCTACAGCACGGCCCTTACCAATATCCGGGTGGTGGGCATGACCTGTCAGTCGTGTGTGCGGAATATCGAGGGGAATATTGGGACCAAACCAGGCATCCAGCACATCGAGGTGCAGCTGGCGGCCAAGAATGCCCGCGTCCAGTATGATCCCGGCCAGCTGACGCCCGACCAAATAGCCGAACTCATCGATGACATGGGCTTTGAGGCGAGTGTGACGACGGCAGCCACGGGGGGCAGCGATAGTCGGGTGTCAACCACCAGTCCCGCTTCCTCGCCGAGGCAATCACCCCGCAAAGAGATGATGCCGGAGAAGAAGCCCACACAGAATGGCACGGCCACAGCGATACCCGTAGAGCAGGAGGCGCTCACAAAGTGTTTCCTTCACATACGCGGCATGACCTGCGCCAGCTGTGTGGCGGCCATCGAGAAGCATTGCCGGAAGATTTACGGCCTGGACAGCATCCTGGTGGCCCTGCTGGCCGCCAAGGCGGAGGTCAAGTTCAATGCAAATGTCCTAACGGCGGAGAACATTGCCAAGTCCATCACGGAGCTGGGCTTCCCCACCGAGCTCATCAACGAGCCAAACAACGGGGAGGCGGAGGTGGAGCTAGAGATTGGTGGCATGACCTGTGCCTCGTGCGTCAACAAGATCGAGAGCCATGTGCTCAAGGTGCGGGGAGTGACGGCTGCCTCGGTAACGCTGATGACGAAACGCGGTAAGTTTAATCACAACGTTTAATCCAACAAATACACAAACACACATGCATACGTCATGAGGGATGTGTGTGTGGGTGGGGGGGAGGTGCTGCGTTCCAGTGCGTGTCCACAAGTGCAATTGATCCATTGAGCCTCGATTATACAACAATAAAACCGAGTAGCACCCTCGATGTAGAGCACCTGGCACGCCACCAACAGCCGGGCCACCTGTTGCGTCTTCCTCCCCTCCACCCCCCAACCACCCAATACGAACAGCTGGCAGAATTTTTGTTTGTTTTGTGGCAGCAGCCGCTGGTTCCCACATAACCTCTTTGCCGCGGGACAGACAGCGGCAATCGAACACTGAAATCAGAGCTCTGCCATTAATTGTTTATTGTAAATTACATGGAATTGTTTTGTTTGTTTTCGATTGCAAATGCGTTTTGTTTAAGCGAAAATACATACGTATGTACAAACAAACCCAAGGTGTCATGGTTGCAGGGTGGGGTATTAATTACCCCTCTGCTCTCTCTCCTGCCCAAAGTCTGAAATGAGAGGCGCTCTCTGGCCTGGCAACCTAACACTAAACCGCCTAGAACGAATCCAGATTAAGGTATTGACAAGTATGTGTGCTCAAGTGTGTGTGTGTGTGTGTGTACAGCTATTTGGGTTAGTGAATGCTTGACAGAGTGCGTTTGACAAAAAGAGAGGGCAGCGGGAGCAGCAAAGCAGCCCAGCGATTATCTCACGAGTGAGTGAGAGAAAGGAACAGCAGTCGGAGAGAGAGCTATCAAGCGAGAGCGGATGACTGATTGCATTGAGAGGAGAATGGGTGGGGAGTGAGCGGGACAGTACATTATAACGCAATTAAATAGGATCAAAAAACGATTAAAATTGTTGTTGTTCATTACAAGCCAACAACAAAGCGTATGGCGTGTGTGTGGAGTGGAGTGGAGAGTGTGTTCTTTGTTCCTTTTACTCGTGATTTGGCAATCGAGTTATTGAAAGTTAAAAGAGCCCCGCGCCGCCACGCCCAGCGTCAGACCCCGCGTCAGCGACAACACACGCCAGCGCATAAGCCTTGAAATCAAAAGCCCAACTTTTGCCCGACACAAAGGCAAATAAAAACAACAAAAACAAAACGAAAAAGTGAAAGAGTCTCAAGCATCGTACAGCAGCGGGCAAAATAATTGGCAGCACTTAAGAGTTTTATCCCAAAAACAACCCCAATACATATGTATATATGCACTTAAAGTAAAAGTAAAACCCGAAAGGATGACCACAAAGTCTTTGATATCCCAGCAGATCGATCCACTGTAGGCTATAAATATTATTAATACTATTATTTTGACCCCCACTGTGCGCAACAGTTGCTCTCGAAGTAAAAATAATCGCTCCATCGTCTGGCGAGAAAGAGAGGAGCCTTCTCTTTCTCTTCCGCCCCCCACCTCCTGCCCCTGTAGCTCTTGTTGCTGTTCAGATGCGTGACCACGAAATGAAGCCATTTCCAACATCACTTCCAAACTCCACTTCCATTTGTTCCAGTTCCATTCACCTTCACTCTGATTAACAGCGTTTTTGGAGTCTGTCTCTCTCTCTCTCTGTCTTGGACTTGCAGATTTCTGCTCGATTATGCAATGGCTTTGACAAACTTGGTGTTTGATCCACACATCGATTTCAAATTCTTGTTGCCCCCTTGAAATCCGCTTTGCGTACGTGCGGCGGTGACAAAAAAGAAAAATAATAATAATTTAAAAATAAAAGTAGAGCTTATGTATAGTCGCGTAGAGCAAAAGCAAAATATAATTACGATTGCAATATATGTAACTGGTTTCCATTCGCATGCCTTTTGCGCGCGTAGCGTAGCAGTTGTGGAGCCTCGTCTCCTCTCCTCTCCACTCCCTTTAAGTTTTCAATCTTTTTGCTCACTTTCGTTTGAAGCGGAGTAAAGAAGTAAAAGGGCTAGAAAGAGAAAGAGCGAAAACGAATTATGGAACCGTTAATGGTTAACGGCCTATCCCACACTCACACACTCTTGCGGAGAGCATTTAAGGAAGTCAATCTCTCTCTCTCTTTCAATAGTTTCAACATGGTCTCACTCTCACTGCTCTTGGGTCGTATTACATATGTATGTCTGTATGTTACATATGTATATGCGTTCTAGAGCGTACTTCGGGGTCTTCCAGGATGTTTCTTTCTATAGATATACATAAATCACTCTCTGGCAAATGATCTCATGGGCATAAAGAAAATCCAAACAAATGTTTCTATGTAGAGGTTCTGAGAGAACCTAAAAATAGGATAAACATTTCGCATGATTTTCAGATGCTTTTCACAATGTGTTACAGAGATAGAAACCATCGCTTTTAAACTATCCTTTGGTTATAATAATTCTTTGAAGTTGTAGCATCCCAATGTGGTCCAATCTCTATTCCAAATTGAAGCAGAACTAATCATACTTATATAATTAGAATCGTGTTTAGCGCAAACTGGAAATGTTGTTTAGTTCTCTCTGTTGGGCTTGTTTGCTATTTGTTTCGGTTAGTGTTCCACTTTAACTTGCACTTATTTTACTTTCTGCTTGTTTTCCATCCACTCTGACAGTTCGGTAGTCGGAATTGGGCTTGTGAATTGTTGGGTACAACATATGTTTTGCTGGCGATGCTTATCAGATGGGGCGAGGAGTCGCGGTATCGATAAGGGATGACGACGCTGTTGCTTGGAAACGGGCCGGAGCAGGGGCAAGCAACTTGAATTGAAAATGTTCCAAAATTGTATCAACAAATCGCAGGCGATAAGATGCGAAAATACTTAAACAAACACCCACCCACAAACACACAAACACACACACACACACAGATACGAACATGGAACTGTAATCTAGAGCCTGTTCCCTGCCGGGATTGACATCGGGGTGGGCGATCGGCAACGGAATTTTGGCCTTTGGAAGATTGATCGATGATCATTATCGATGATAATTA